TCTTCTGGGATGCTGCAGGGGGGTCCTGGGCGCGGCTGCCCACCCAGAGCACTTGTCTCCAGCGTCAGTGTGACGATGCAGAACAGGTTGACGTTGGCATTGTAGACAGTGAACTCCACAAACACAGCTCTGGTCAGGGTGTCCAGCCAGGTGTTGTCAAAGAGATACCGGAGAACTCTGTGGGGAAGAACGGCATTTGGGGCATCTCCTCCCTGCGGAGGCTCCCGGTCCCCTCCGCCTCTTGATGAGGCTGGGGCTTCCTGTCTGAACTTCTCACTCTGCTTCCACTCTGCTCCCTGGGCCACTGGGCCACTGGGCACTGGGGCTGCCACTGGGAGTGGTCACAATTTTCAGGCCGTGGTGAGGCTCTCAAAGTGTGGTCCCCAGACCAGCAATATCGGCATCATCTGGGAAGTGCAGATTCTCGGGCCCATCCCAGACCTCTGAGTCCGAAGCTCTGGGGTGGAGCCCGGGATGGGAGCTTTGATGCGCCCCGCCCCCGGCACTTCTGATGCTTTTTAAAGCTTGAGAGCCCTGGTGTTAGAGGAAGCACGTGAAACATCAGGAGTTAGGCAGGCAGCAGCTTCGGCCGTGGAGGTCCCACCTGGGCAGGCAGTCCCTGTGACACCAGTTTCTGGGGCTCTGTTAGCCTGGTGTGGTGGGAAGAGCATGTGCCCAGAGGTGGTAGAGGCACCTGGGTTCAAATCCCGGATGCCTCTTGGGCAAGCTAATAACTTGTGCAGGCCTCGGTTTCTTCACCTATGAAGGTGTTAACATGAGCACTTCCAGATCATTGTGAGCAGAGAAAATGGAACAGTTTGTGTGTATGTGTGTTGTGGGTGGGAGGAGGGGGAATTACTATTCCAGTAACATTGTGCCCCCAGTGTGTCTGCATCCTGCTTGGTACACAGAAGCAGAGGGAGAGGATATCATCAGTCCTTCCAAGCAGCAGGAAAAACATCTCTCCTGAAACAGACTTATTCCTGGCCTGTCCTTAACCCCAGAAGACCCATTACTGTGTCTGCAGGCAGGATACACGCTCGGCTGTCACAAACAACCCGGGTGCTACAAGCATACAGTGGAGGCAACTGACGTTCACACAGGTCCACTAGTTTTCCTGGGCTACACAGCTAGAAGGAGCAGTGCCAGCGTTCCACATCCAGGGCTCTCTGCCTCTAGGGCGTGTTGAGTCAGTCTGCATGGGCCCTAAGCGTCACTGCACGTTCTTACTGGGCTTTCTAGTACCACCCTGGCTGGGCTTTTCCCAGGCCATTTCTCAGGGCTGTGTTTGCAGGAGCAACCTCGAGGGATGAGGAGATGTCTTCCTTTGAGAGAGCAGGCTTGGTTTTGTTGCTATAAAAGCAGTGAATGCCCCAAGCTCAGTGTTTTGACACATGCAGGCATGGCCCTTTGCAGCAATTCACTCAAACCAATGTGATGTTCTGTTGCTGCTTTTGCTGTAACAAAATCTGACCCGGGAGTCTTGTGTCTTCTGCCAACATCCATGAAATAGTAACAGACTAGCTTGTTGGCTTACAAGTAGGGTAAAACCTCACACTTTGCATAATTCTCGACAGAGCATTAACCACTTTCTTCTTGTCTAACAGGGGACTGCATTGTGTGGTAGTGAGCTCCCCATCTCTGGACTGGCTCTAGCAGAGGCAACCAGGCTGAGAATGCTGGAGATAGACTTCCCTTCCAACTCAGAGAATGGTACAGTTTCCAGGGGCCTGAAAATATGACCTGAATGATTCTGAATCCCCCAGCCCCTCCTACCAGGACATGAATGAACTTGGCTTAGCTTTGTTTTGAAGGCTGCATCCCCCAGTGAGACGTGGACTCTAGCAAAAGGCTTTACTCAGCTGCAGAGGAATCAAGTCAGCCTTACCTTAATGCACTTTGGCGATCAGTCCCCAAGGGGACCACGTAGCCTCCTCCCCGGTACACAGTGAGTTTGCCCCAGATGGGATACCCTCGACGTTGGCTCTGGCTCTGGTATTGCCAAGCCCGGGGAAAGCCATTGCTGCTATTGAGGGCGGAGGCATTCCAGCCTTCCCCATAGTCTGCCAGGTCTTCAACATCCAGGGAATATGGCGCACGGCATCCATCAAGAGAAGCCTGCAACTGCCGGGCAAGAGGGCAAGAGCTTTGCTGGACCCTCACTTGACGAATCTGGGCGCTGCCAACCAGCTTGGAGTTCCCGTCGGTGACAAAGCCTGAAGATGAAAACCAGGTGGGTAAATCTAGCACGTCCCATCAGCTCTACTTCTTCCACGTTTCATGCGCCATCCCCTTCTCTCCCTCAGCACTGTCCCTTGTCACTATACAGCCCCTCCAGGTCTCCCCAGCATCCTAACTTGGCCACGCTCTGCTGCAACTTCCCCGTGCTTCCAGAACGATCCTTCTTACGCCGCATGAGATCTATGCTAATTGCTCGTGGAGAAACCTTCAATGGTGCCTCCTTTCCTTGAAGATAAAACAGGCACTTCCGAGGTCCCTCATGATCTGGCCCCTGTTTATCTCCCCTGCTTTGCTTCTCACTGCTCCCTAGCCTAAATTCTACATGGCAGCCACACTCGCTCCCTGTAGTTCCAGGAATGTGCCACGGTGTCAGGCTGGGCTTTCCTCAGTTGCTCCTTCTGCCCAGCACATTGTTTTTGCCTGGCTGATCCATGCTCAGTTATCTCTCATTTGCAAAGCTCTCCACTCTCCATGGGAGGGAAGAGAGGGAGGGGGAGGGGAAGAGGAGGAGGAGGGGAGGGGGAGGGGACCTCCCTGTGTGTGCACAGCCTTCTGAGGGTCTCTCCTTCAAAGCGTGGGGTCCTGCAGTGGTTTGTTTTCTCATGAGGCTGAGGTTGACATCAACCACATAATGTTGCCTTTATGTTGCCCCACACCTGTCCCTCTGCAGGAGCATGTGCAAGGAGGCCGGCACACAGTCCCAGGGCCAGGGTACTGTACCTGGGAGAGGGCTGTACAGGTTGCTCACGAGGGTGGTGTTGGCCCATTCAAAGAACTCTTGGAAGCTCAGCACGGCTGAAAAGCCTCTGGTGAAGCTGCGCTCGAGGTGCCTGTTGAAGTGGTAGGTACTGGGGTCCCTCTGCCCGTAGGCCGCCAGCAGCAGCATCCACAGGAAGCCCAGGTACGCTGGGGAGGCAGGCACAGCCCCCGTCAGGCAGGGCCCCCGACTTCCACCCAGTCCGGGACAGGAAACGCAACGGCGCTTGGGCTCAGGACAGTCGAGGCCGCGTAGACCAACCCCTGGCCCCTCTGGTGACAATGGAACCAATGCTTATGGAGGCAGCAGAGAGGCATAAAGTCACAGACCACAGGGCGTCCTGCTCAGGTGCAAATCCTGGCTCTGCCCCTTCCTATCCAAGTGCCCTCTGCAAATGCCTGCAACCCTCTGAGCCTCACTCTCCTCACCTGTGAAAAGGCAGCAGCAACTCTGTGACATGGGCTTGTGACGAGGGGATTAGTTAACATCCGCTTTATAAGCACTTACAACAGTGCCTGCACAGCGCATGTGCCATGTAAGTTTCTTAGGTAGAATTTTTAAAAATGGGGCATTTGCCTTGTTACATCGCTGAAGATGCCGTAGTGAAGCAGACATGTTTCCTGCCCCTGTGGTGCTCACCTGTCCTGCTGGACACAGGTGAGTGTGACGGAAGGGCCTAGCAGGTGCAAAGATTTAGGTTATGAGGCTGGACACCACAAATCACATGGGGGATGCAGGTTCCTGCTGAACCAGAACCTCTGGGCCCAGGGCCTGGGAATCTGCGTTCCAAGAGCCCCTCCCCCAGAGGCCTTGTATGGATGCCAAGGAGCAGGACAACTCGGGGGTGTGTACGACATGCGCTCCCGCGGTCCCCGTTGCCCACCTGGAACCCACCTGTCACACACCTTGTACTGGTTCCCTTCCCCCCAGCGCGGCCCAGGATCACCTCCCAAATCAGCTGCCTGCACCCAGATCTGCTGCTGGGAGACCCAGACTCAGACACACACCTGAGTCTGCAAGTTTCTGGGCAGAAGGCCAGGGGAGGCCTCTCTGAAGACACCGTGTTTGGGCTGAGATTTAAAAAATAAGAGGAATTAGCCAGAAGAGGAGGTGGGGAGAGGGGTGAGCACACCCAGGCAAGGGAAAAAATAAAACCCGGGCAAAAGCCCGGGGGCGGGAACAAGCCCGGGGCCCCAACCCAACAAAAGCCAAGGGGAACGCCCCCTGGGGCAAAACAACCCAAAAAAAGCAACCCAAGGGGCCGGAACCAACGGAACCAAAAAAGGAAGTTAAAACTTAACCCAAAGGCCAAGAAGGGCCCCCGAAAGAATTTATGTTTAGGGGAGAAGCTGGGGTGTGTTGACATCTAGGGGAACCGAGGCCCAGCAGCAGTGTGGGGCCTCCTGGAAGGTTGCACAGGAAGCGTGTCTGTGCCGGGCTGTGCTGAGCACAGCGGCCGGAAGGCGGCATACCCAGGATCTCTCTGACCAGGGCAAACGCTTTCTGTTCCTTGAGACGGGTGGTTTTCATCTTCTCAATGGCGGCGGCAAGAGGCGGCTGGTAGACATCCCTGCTGCTGTTTCTTCGTGCTCGGAACACGGCGTAGGGGTCTGTGGAAGCAAGGACAGCAGGGCAGTCCCCCAGGGGCGTGGGAAACCAGGTTCCACCTCTGCCACTAGAAGACCTCTCTGTCCCCGGGTGCAATGGGCTCCACCTTCCGCTTCCTTGAGGGTCATTTCCCAGCTCTACCCTCCATGCCTCTGCAGTGCCATCCCAGGCGCAGAGTCCCGTGCCTTCCCCAATGCGCGTTCGCCCATGCTGACCCACAAGCGCCCTCTCCTCCCCCAAATCTTACTGACCCCTGCATGCCCTCTCTGACACTTCCACAACTTTGACGGATTCAAGGACTAGGGCGATGAATGTCTCAAAGTCCTGTCGTGTTTATTTCCAAGTATCTTTCTTTCCTATCCACTTTATCGAGTTATCCTTTTCATAAAACTCATCCATTGGAAGTCTACAGTGCAATGATTTTAGTAAAGTTATATCACCACCATCCAGTCTTAGGACATTTTCATCAGCCCAGAGGGTTCCCTCGTGCCCTGGTAAAGTCAGCGTCCACTCCCCCTCCCGCCCGCCCCCAGCCCGCACAGCTGCCTTCTGTCCCTGCGCCTTATAGACTTGCTGCAAGTGGAACCATACAGCATGTAGTATCTCGTGTCTGGCCCTCTCATTCAGCACAGTGCTTCGGAGATTGTCCACGTCGTTGCGTGTCTTTGTGATTAGTTCCTGCTTATTGCTGAGGAGTGTCGTTGGGCAGATATACTACATCTGGTTTATGCATTCACCAGTGGACAGACGTTTTTTGGATGGTTTTAGTTTTGTCCATTGTGACCAATGCTACCATGAACATTTACGTAAAGGCATTTGTGTGGACGTGTGTTTTCATCTTTCTTGGGCACATTCCTAGAAGTTGCCAAATATCTTTTGGCTATTACAAAGGAAGCTGCTAGGAACATTCTTGTACAAGTTCCTACATGAAAGTAAGTTTTTATTTCTCTGAGTTAAATGCTCAAGAGTGCAATGTCTGGGTCTTAGGGTGAGTCCATTTGTCATTTTGAAAGGAATTACCCAACAATTTTTCAGAGTGGTTGTACCATTTACCTTCCCGCCAGCAACATATGAATGCTCCAGTTTCTCCGCGTCCCTGCCAGTACTGGTGTTACAGCTGTTTTTCTCCTCATCCATTCTGACATGTGTGTGGTGACCCAACTGTCTTTGGGATCCATGCCCTTCTGTCCACACCCTCCTCTCCACACTAGAATTCGTCACCTCCTGCCTGGACCACGGCAATAGCTTCTTCTACTGGCCTCTCCGTTGCCACTTTTGACCCAGAACCTCTGGTCTCTAAGATCAACCTCAGTAACCTTTCTGAAATCACAAAACAGATCATGCCACTCTCTTACTTAAAGCCTCTAAAATCCCACCATTGCTCCAGCTCCTCCACTGCCGTGTGTGGTCTGTTTCCCACCCACCTCTTCACCTTCACCTTGAACCATTCTACCCCCTCCAATTCACCATGCTCCAGCCACACTGTCAATAATTGCTGTCAAATGACAAGTTCCCACCCCAGGGCCTTTGCACATGCCTCCTTCCCTTCCCCTCCTTTCAGGAGACAGCTTAGGTTCAGCCCCAGCAGGGGCCTGCACTCTCTTCTTCTTCCCCAACATTGCTCATCATAATTCACACTTCTGTGTCTACTTGTATATTTATTTGCTTAATGGCATATCCCCAAATGGGCTTTTCATCCCAAGGACAGTGACCTGTTCCATCCAGTCCATGCTGTGTTGCCTGGGCCTGGGGTTGTGAACAGGGAAATGTCTTCAAATGGGCAAGACCAAACCTTTTGGGATGATGAAGCTATTCTAAATCTGAATTGAGGTAATGGTCGCATAACCTATAAATTTACTAAAATCAATGATTGTGCACTTACAATGGGGTGAATTTTATGTAAATTACATTCCCAAGCCATCACACTGCCTGGCACCCAGCCCTGAAGAATTGCCAAAGGAATGATTGAATGAATATTTAATTGCTTAGGAGGCTGGCATCTCTTTGGAGAAACATTACTCTTTTGTCTTGAGAAGACGTTAATGGACCTCTTGGGTCTGCAAATCCTAAACCCTCTCCTAGAATGGAAGAATACAGGCCCAGGAGGAGGTAACCTCACTGCACAGCGATGTATGTGCTGGACCTTTTCTTGTTTCTTCCTGTTTTATTTTCCCTGAAAGTCTTCGATTATCAGACTATTGATTCTGTTTTGTTTGCTTGTTTGTTTTTATAATTCTCTTATCATCTGCACCCCCGGGAGTTCGGGTTGGAAAGTGAGAAGTGAGGTTGGGAAGAAGAGGACTGACTGGGGCTGACAGCAGGACTGTGTTCCAATAAAACTTTATTTACAAAAACAGGCAGCAGATGAGATTTGGCCCACTGGCTGTAGTTTGCAGACCTTTGTCCTAGAAGTCTAATTTACAGCCACTTTCTGCAGCCCACCTGCAAACTGATTCTTTTTTCGGTCTTCATTCTAAAGCCCAGGGCCCTGAATCCCGGAGAAGAGAGCTGCTTGCATGGAATTCCACAGAGAAGACAGGACAGCCCATGTGAACAGCTCAGCCCCAAGGTACTTCTGGCTGAAGGGTCATGCGTGGGTGTCAGGGAAAAAGGCCGGGGAGGGAAGGGACAAGGCTGCTCGGGAGACAGTGACGGAGTCACTTTTTCTGGCTGGTTTGGGGTGAAAGGCTGATGGGGAGCGAAGGTCTAGGCATCCAGCCTCAGGCCCAGGACCCCCCAACCCCGAAGTCTGGACTCTTTGGGACTGCCAGCTGGCCAGGGCTCCACCCCCACCCACCAGGTGAGGCACCGTACCTGGGCCCAACAGACGTCCTGCCAGGGGGGCTGCAGTCTCCTCCTCCTCGTCCACTTTTCTCAAGACCAGCGCAAAGAAAGCAGCGAATCCCAGCACCTGAAAAAGACCCAGGGGCACCCCACGCCCACACTGGTGACTCTCACTGCCTGGTCCCAGGGCGGCGGTTACGAAGAGTGAGCACTAAGGCCCTTGTGCTCTGCACTGGGCCACCACCCAGACAGAGGGGCCAGTGAGTCCTTGAAGTCCCCAAGCCTCCCCAGCTGCTGCTCGCCTGACCGAGGTCCCCCATCTCTCAGCAGGGAGCATCAGCCACCGCGCCTAGCATGACCATAACTCCTTAACCTCAAGTTTTCTCACCTATAAAATGGAGGTAAGAATCCCAAGGCTGGTGGTGACTATGAAATGCCAGTATCCCAGTAAAACATTAAGCTTGGGTTATTAGAGCAACTGGCTTATTATACTTCCTGGCCCAGGGGCTACACAGAGGTGGTGCTTCCATACGTTTGTTGAATGAATAAGTGAATGAACGTCCAAAGCCCAAGGACAAGACTGTTAGCCGGAAGGAAAGGGCGAGCAGACATGAGGAGGGCAGCCACATGGGGTGGGGTTCTGACCTTTAGGGGCTGAGTGACGAACACGCTCTCCACGAAGGAGACAGCCATGGAGAGGAGCCACCTGAGGGAGCTGGCCCGCCCATAGTGCAGGCCGTAGAGCATGGTGAAGAAGGCGGCCACACCACTGGTGGCCGCCACCAGGAGCCAACCCACCAGGACGCACCACCAGGGCAGGCCGCCAGGGGGCCTGCTCAGCCTCAGGGCACTGCAAAGGAAGGTGGACGGACATAGTGAGTGTGGTCCCAGCGGGCTTGAGGTCAGATCCCACTCTGCCCCCACCAGCTGCTTGATCTTGGCCAATCTCCTGGGCCTCTCAGACCCTCTGTTTTCTCCTCTGTAACCTGTACCTACCTCGAAGGGCAATTCTATTATCTACTGAATGCAAAAGCAGTCATATTTGTTCCATGCTTACTAGGGGCCTGTCCTTGTGCTAGCTGCTTTGTACAGATTGGCTCTGTTATTCCTCATGGCAAGCCTAGAAGGCTGGCACTATGTCATTTTTATGAGGTTTTTACTATGAAAATTTCTCATCATGCAAAAATTAGTAAGCACAGCAAGCTCCCATGCGTTCGTCAGCCAGTTTCAACAACCATCATCACCTTGTCGCCCTTTCACACTTACTTCACCTGCCCTCGATCTCTGGGGTTTTTTCCTGGGGGAGGGGCTGAAATACTTAAAAATAAATTGCAGACATAATACGAAATCATTCCTAATTACTTCATCACAAAAATGGTCATTTTCTTATTAAATTACAATGCTGTTGTCACATAAAATTAATAATCCTTAATGTCATCTAATAACCTGTCTATATTCGAATTTAGCCGGTTATTTAAAAAATTATAGTTTAAGCTTGAATCAGGAGATAGGCATTATTATTCCCATTTTGCAGATGAGGAAATGGAGGCTCAGAGAAGTTGAGGGACTGGTCCCAGGATGCACAGCTAGGACACAGCCCACATGAAAATGGTTATGAACTGTAAGGTGCTGAACGAAGGGCTATAGGTACCTTCCAGCAAATACCCCTGTTCACACCGGGTCTCCCTGAATGTTCGCAGGAATCCTGCACCATTTCTGCCTGGGGAGGTCTGGGCGGACGTCCTTCCAAGGTTGTTCACGATGTGCTTTCTGGCAGGCCCCAGGCTGGGGAGGGCAGGTGCCACTCAGCACCCAGGGCAGAGGATTACCTGGTGTGCGCTGGGGCCAGGGTGCCCGGCTGTCCCCCGAGGCAGCCCTTCAAGGCCTGCAGCTGCCTGAGGGCCCGGGCGTGGCTATGGTGCTGGGGGAAGCCTCGGGGTCCCACCAGCCGCAGCTCTTGCTCCACGTGCTCCAGCTGAAGGTAGAGGCACTGCCTGTAGACACTGTCCTTCCAAGGGCCACTGGGGGCCACCTCGGGCTTGGGGCACTTTCTCTGCATTTTCTCTGGGCAACAAGGGGGAAAATGATCGGCTTGTGACGAATCACAGAGCAAACCAGCTGCAATAAAAACAACAGTAAGAGTAGCAGCTTTCAGGTACCAAACACTAGGTACGTGCCAAGGTAAGTTCCAGGGTCACACGGCCAGTTAGGATCTGAATGTTTCTCTTGTAGACTTTTATCAGGGACATGCTTGAAATTTGCTCACACATCGAGAGTGGAGAGGAGAATCCCACACTCGGCTGCAAAAATTACCAATATTTGGCCAATCTCACCTCATCTCTTTTTTTCCCCTGGAATATTTTAAAGCAAATCTTAGACATAATGTTATCTCATCTGGAAATACTTTAATATGGTAAGATTTGAATTGAAGCCCGGTTTTGCCTAATGCCAAAGATAGCGTAAGCCTTAATCTTGTGTGTTTAAGTTTTTCTTAAATTATGAAAGATTTCAAACATACAAAAGTACAGAAAATGATGAGATGAAGCCTCACAGCCTCAAGTGATCAACTTGTGGCCAACTATTTCCCCTGCATCTCATGTACTCTCTCCAGGTGGATTATTTTGAAGTGAATTCCATAGCTCATATCATTTCACTAAATAATTTAGTGTAAGGACTCTTTTCAAAAAGATAACCATGATGGCGTTATCAATTTTTTTTTTTTTTTTTTTTTGAGACAGGGTCTTGCTCTGTCACCCAGGCTGGAGTGCAGTGGTGTGATCATAGCTCACAGCAACCTCAAACTCCTGGGCTCAAGCAATCCTCCTGCCTCAGCCTCCCAAGTAGCTGAGACTACTCATCACCGCACGCCACCACAGCTGGCTAATTTTTCTATTTTTTGCAGAGCCAGGGTCTTGCTCTTGGTCAGGCTGGTCTTGAACGCCTGGCCTTAAGCAATCCTCCTGCCTCGCCCTCCCAGAGTGCTAGAAATATAGGCATTAGTCACTGTGCCCGGCCTAAAAAAATTTTTTAAAACATCTTTCTTGTTCAGCTGGTGATCAGGATGAAAGACAAAATAAAAATTCAAAGAAACACCCATCTTTTGTTTTAAATTATAGAGGTAACACATATTCATTGGAAGAAAAAAACCCAAAAACCCATCAGAACATTCCCACTATGCCCTGTGCCTTTTAAGAGAAACTCGGCCTCCATAAGCAGAACCAGGCCTCAGTCCCCGGCCCCTGAGCTGGGAGGGTGGCGTTGAGGGACACATTCTCCTGCGGCAGCAGGGCCTGGCACTCAACCAGCATTTATCTTCCCAAGAGGTGTGCGAAATTGTATGTAAAACATGGCAAGATGGAGCCCCCTTCGCCTAGTCCCCAGTGAGGGGCGAATAAGGAAATACATGCACGTAAGGAGGGCTGTGGCCGCATGTTTGCATCTCTGACCCTGACTCCGACCAGGTCAGGATGTTGGGTAAATGCCTACAGCAAGGTCAGCCCCACCTCCCTCTGACTGGAAGCCTTCTCCTGCACCCTCCTCACCTGGGCCTCCCTTACAGAAGCCCCAGCTACAAATTCCAGCGTCAACACCCTTTGTTTTGCAAGGCTTCTGCTCATGTTTCCAGAAGATACCATCACTGCCAATCATAACACCACTTACTGAACACCTGCTTTGTGTCAGGCTGGGGTCTAAGCATTTTACGTATCTTATGATCTGACTCAGTCCTCACAACAAGCCAAGAAGCCAGGTGGATCAATACCCCTATTTTATAGGGGAGGAAATAAAGCCTCAGAGAGATTGAGCAACTTGTCTGAAGTTGCACGGTTGCTATTGCAGCTGGGAGATCCCAAGGATCTGGCCACCTCCAGAGCTCTTGTTCTGTAGGTCTACAGCCCATGCCATTGTGTGCAGCTGTGAATGCCAAAGCCCCCAGACTCAGGCCAAGTGCGAGCAGAGTCCTGCAGGGACAACCTTCACGGGCAGCCCATGCTCGGTGTCTGTGCAAATCCTTCAGAGTGGCTGGAGCACAGGGGTTGGGTGAAGTGGAGCAAGAGAGACAAAACCATGGGGCCATGAAGGCTTGAGTGCTGCAGGAAGGGCTGGGACTTTATCTTGAAGGTGGCTACTCTCAAAATTCAATGTACATAAAAATCACCAAAGTGACCAGTTAAAAATGCAGAGACCCGGCCTCACCCCAGGAAATTTAATTCACTCTATCAGAGTGGGGCCAAGAGTTACGAACTCAAATCGCCCATTCTGTAGACCACACTTCAGTATTCTAAGCAAGGCTTAGACAGTGACCAGCCTCGTGTGTTCAAAGTGGTAGCGTTCTAAACCTACTCCACTAGCCATGAGCCATGGAACATTTCTATCACTGCAGGAAGTTCTATGGGACAGCGCTGCCCTCAATGGGAATCTTCTAAATGGGCCTGGGAAGGGGCAAGAGGCGGGTCAGGACACTAGTTCAAACCAGAACTTGATAAAAATGAAACAATGTTACTGCATTCTAGCTGGATATTGTTGCATGAGGCTCTGAATTTGAGACCTGCTATCTCCGAGATTAAGGAGTGTTAGAGTGTTAAAGGCACGGTAGCGCCAAACCGAGACTTCGTCTTGACTTCTCCCCTTCATTGGGAGTATGGAAAGAGAACAGAGAAAGGAATAACTTTTCTTTTTTTCTTTTTTCTTTTCTTTTTTAGTTTCTACCCACAGTATTGAGAGAAAGCAATAACTTTTCCAACCTGTGTTTCAATGTTCTTTAAAGTTTCTGACCACCCCATCTATCGCCCTGTATCCTGTGTCCTGCCCCACATAGTTGGAAGTGGATGTGGGTCAACTTTGCATCCCCAACACATTAGAGGAAAAGGAACTGAGGCACAGAGGACCGAGATAATCCATCCAAGGTCCCAAACTGGCCGATGGCAGAGCCAGCACCCAGACGGGGTTCTTCTGAGTAGAGCGACGAGACGGATGGACGGTTCCCATCCCACGGAGCCCACACTCCAGGAAGGGAGATGCAGACTTTACGCAACTCTCCGCATGATTCGTCCTTTGGCCCCAAGCAGGTAGGATGCAAGGAGGAGCTCAGGTGCTAAAGAGTATGTGACCAGGGGTCCTGCTATAGGCTGGGAGGTTTGCGTTGCTCCCCTGAGGAAGGGACGCTTAAGCCAAGACTAAAGATTGAGTAGGACCTGGCCAGATGAAGCAAGGAGAAAGAACATTCTAGACTAAAGGACCAGCATACATGAAAGCCGTTAGTGGGAAGGCAGCTGTGGCACAGAGAAGGAGGTGGCAGCCAGTGGTCCAAGCAGGGGCTGGTGAGGGACACTCAGGTCTGGCTTCTTGGCCCCCTAGTGATGCAGATATGGCCCCTTGCCCTGTCTCCACCTGGCCCCAAAATGCCACTTCTCTGTGCAAAACGCATAGAAATGTCCGGGACTCACCTTTCACTCGTAAGGCCCCAACAGTGAGTGTTACAGGGTCCTCTCTCTGTGTGGGCTCCTCCCAGAACACCTGCCCTGCTGCACTCTGTGGACAAATGACGTCTTCCACCAAGGCCAGGAGATAGTTGATGTCCATCAGATTCACTGGGTCCCAGCCCGAGGCAGGGGACGGCACCTTCAGGGCTTTGAACAGGGAGCTGACAAGTCTCCATACGTCCTGCGAGGCAGCCCGTAAGGGGGTAAGTGGATGTGAGCCACAGGTCAGGGGTGCAGCGCAGGGGCCACGGGCATGCGCCCGGCCAGCAGTCTGCACGGGAGCCCACACTGCCCACCGAGCCCTGAGGTCGCCCTCCCCGAGCTTCCCTCCGTCACCTCCAACATCCCTCTTCCGGGGTCCAAACTCATTCTGGGCTGTATTCCTGTGGCACATAGTAGGTGCTTAATGAGAGCTCATCAACTACATAAATGCAGAGTAAGCAGTCTCTGCTGTGGGCTGGAGTATTTCGCACATAGTAGGTACTCAAAGAGTGTGTGTGTGTGTGTGTGTGTGTGTGTACATATGCGTGCACGTGCGTGCAAGTGTGTATGTGTCTGTGTGTCTCTGTGCACGTGTTCATGTGCATGTATGTGTGTGTGCAAATGTGTGTCTGTATGTGCGTGTGCATGCGTTTGTACGTGTATATCTAGTTGATGCATCTTGACAACTGAAGCTGTCAGACCACACGGGGCTGCCAGACCCCAAGCCCTGGCCATACCCCGCTTCTGCCGAGGCTACGGCACACTCCCAACACTAGCTGTGGTTGAAGACATGCCTTGGTCACCGCTTCAGGTGTCAGTAGGCCATTCTCCATGGGCTGTGGTGAGGGGGTCAGGCTGGGTGACCCCCTGTCCCCTTTCCTGGTGTTCTCTTTCACAGCCCGTGGACGGGCGTTTCGGAAGATCTGAACGATGAGAAGGTTGATGGGGAACATGAGGATGGAGCTCTCCAGGCCAATCATCACCTCCTGCCACGTGAATTCAATTTTACCTGGGGACAGGGAGAGAAGGGGTCAAAGGGGAGAGGCCACCCCCATGCCCAGTCCCCTCTGCCCCTTCCAGAGGTGGCTGTTCAGTGAAGGGTTCACCTTGCCTAGCGCCTGGGAGGTCACCTCTAAGCCCTCAGGTGTCCTGCCTGGTAGAGGTGTCTCTGTTTACCTAGGGCCTTGGGCCAGCCCAGACAGTCTGTGCTGAGGTGCAATTTATGGTAGGGCCTGGGCCACTGGTGTCAGCTCGACCCCTGGAGGGCGGGGGCTAAGGTCAGCCCTGTGGGCGGGCAACCACGTCTAGGAGCCCCAGTGAAGACTGTGGACACCAAGGCTGGGGGAGCTTCCCTGGCTGGCAACACTTGGTGCGCGTTGTCACACATCGTTGTCAGGAGAAGTTAGCACTACCCACGACTCCCCTGGGAAGGACAGCTGGAAGCTCACGCCTGGTCTCTCCTGTACCTGTTTCCTGCATCTCTTCCCTTTGCTGATTTTAACCTGTATCCTTCTGCCGCCATAAACCATAACTGTGAGTGCACTGTCTTTTCTGAGTTCTGTGAGTCCTTCGTGTGAATCATGGAATTTGAGTGTGGTTTGGGGACTCTGGAGTTGCCCTGTCATTGCTGGCGTGGCAAAGGCTCATGTCCACCAGCACTGGCCCTGCCTGCCACGACACTGGGTGTTACCCAAGTCCATCTTTTGCTCAGCGGGGTCCTGGGGGACGCCCCAGAACATGATGCTGGTGAGCATGGTGCAGAGCAGCAGGGACAGGCAGCAGGACACCCTCTGCACGCGGGTGAAGTTGCTCCGGGCCGAGCTGCTGAAGACGGAATACCAGATGTGTCCGTCCCGGAAGCCCGTGGACGTCTTCATGAAAAACAGGTGGCTGCGGGCAGGCAGAGAGAGAGAGAGAGGGACAGGCATTTAGGGAGACAGGAATGGGGAGAGGCTGGTCTCTTTGAGCAATCCTGGGATGAAGAGGAGGAATTTGTTGCTAAGATTTATCACAGAAGAAATACACATGACAGCAGCATCACTTAGAGTTGAGGATGGAGACTCCGGAAAGAGCTGGACTGGAATCCTAGACTCCCCTTTTACCAGCTGCGCGGCCTGGGGCAAGTTACTTTCCTCTTTGTACCTCAGATTACTTGCCTGTGAAATGGGGATAGTAACAGAGCCCATCTCACTGGATCGTTACAAGGATCAAACGGATA